GTAGAGTGTTTTTGGCCCGAACCCAAAATACTTTGTGGTTTTTTTCTGTAATCGTTTAGTTTCCAACTTTTAAAAAAAGTCCGAATTTTTTAATGCAACATTTCAACCGAATGAAGAGGATTCCTTTTTTTGCTAACTTATTTCATAGAAACACAATCTGATTTTCTGAGCAGCTCCTCTTAGATTTCCTGGGATCTAACAGAAAATCTGGTCCAGGCCTGAGAGCAACTATAGGATTGTGGCCGTGTCCAGCTCAATCAAGATTTGAAGAAACCAAGTGGTAGATCTTCTGCTATCATCCTGTAAGACATTTTTCCACATTCTACAACCCTACTTGAAAAAATGCCTTCTGCTTGCTCTTATCTGATGACCTGTAATTTTAGTTTGTCTTTCTATTTCCTTTTCTTGTTAAATCTCTCCTAAGCCAGCAGGTGCTTGATGGGCCATTCAAAATGATGTTTATCGTTTTTGTCATAAGCGTCTGATTTGAAATACTCTGCTGACAATTCATTTAGTTGCTAAAAGACGGCATTGGTTCCAAAAGACTCGGGAGAGAGCAGCCACTTGGGTGGACTACAGAAAAGCCTCTGAAGGAAAGAAAGTGGTAAATACTTGCCAGTCTTTTTAAGCTATAGGTTTTTTCACCAGTGGAAATTAAATCTTATATCTTACAGGGATCATGGAAATGTATTTGTACAACCAACTGAAAATAGAGACACTTGAATTTTACAAAAACACTCACACCTACAGCTAAAGAACTAGGACATATTAAAACAATAAATATAACCACCTTGTTTTACATTATTTATCTTGGTTTGAAATGTTATTATTTATTATATGCATTAAAATGGACCCTAAAAGACCCCCAACTAAGATGGAAGACCAGCTGTACTAGACAAAGGACATAGAGAAAAAAGGTTACAAGAAGTCATCATGGTTTAACTAGACTAGAGAGGCAGAAGCAGAGAGCAAGAGGACAAAAAAAGTAAAGTTACTTACCACAAGTCACAAAGTAGCTCAGTGGCAGTGCAGGAGAAGCCAGATTATCTCAAATCCCAGTCCAGTACCCAAGGCATTTTTGGGTGAGCTGCTAGTGCCTTAGCTCTGTGATAATGGTGACACAGGATAGGCAATGGCCATACCCTGGAGCCTGCAAATTGGACAAGAAAAGGAGTGAAGCCTAGTTCAAAGTGACTAGCTTATTGGTAACTGAAACTCTGGTTGTCTTGCTTCTTTATCCAGTTTATGATGAAGGGTAAGGATGGTCATCTCTGTCTGTCAAGCTTGATGCCCTGTTTTCCATTTCCACCTACTTTAATGGAGTATAAATTCATTTGCATTCAGTGTCATTTGGAAATTCTGACTACATAATGCCAGTATTACTGCAGATGGGCAGGACTGGGGTGATACAAAATGCCAGGTAGACTAAATACAAGACTGTGAGCCTATGCAAGGTGGTGATTCTTCAGAGGATGCACAAGTTTGTGCCAGAGTCCAGAGAAAGAGAATCATAAACCAGCCTCTAACTAGCAAACAAGAAACAGCAGAGGTCCCATGGCCAGGTTACTGGAAGGGAGCTGCGCTAAATGAAAAGAGCAAGCAAGCAATAATTTGATGAACCTTACAGGATAGAGACTGTCCAAAATGGTGCTTCGTGGCAAGCCTCACAAAGGTGGACATGACTATAGACATCTATTTTTGCAACCTGAGAGGAGCATTCAGAAAAAATAAGACCCCCAGTAGATTTTCTACCTCTGTGTTGAGATGGAAGACTATTAGGGGAAGGTAAAACACCTCAAAATGCAATGAAGAAGAACTCTTTGCAGGCAGTTGACTGGGTAGCACTGGAAAGACTTAAGAAGAATCAGGATCAGGGGGCAGGTAAAAGTGGTCAAATCCAGGGTTGTGCAGGCTGTCTTCCATACAGAGCTGAGCTGGAATATCCCAGTTTGGGAGAAAGAATCAGAAACTCCTTTTATAAGATGAATAGTGCATAACTAATTAGCATTTCACATATTTTTGGCCTTCACTTTAGAAGTATGTAATAACACTATCAACTTCCTAAAGAAGCCAAAGCAGTATTCAAGAGTGAGAATGAATAGCCCTTTTATGGATGACATTCCCTTATTGGTATCACATCTCATGATTGCCATTTGTGAAGACTTGGATTCATTCTGTGTCTCACTCAGCAAAGGGAAGTTCCCTTTGACTCTTGAATGTATCTAATACCTAATGCCAGCTCTGAGTGGTTATGTTGGTCAGAGAAATGCCACCATACATGCCTTCTTATTCAGTCCATCACCACTGAGACTTAACGTTCAGCCCCAACTATTAAAGTGAATTGATTTCCTTTCCCATGAAAACTTTGGGGTTTCTGGAACTTTTCATTTGTTAATGTTACCCAGCTTCTCTTTTGTTCGTGCAGTTTTCAGAATTCATGTTTTTTCTCTTCAGTTTTCAGAATTCATGTTTTTTCTTTGAAATGTTTCAAAGTTCAACATTTAAGCAGAGATTGTAACATTTCTTGGAATTTTTTTTTTTGTATTTGTCAGCCCAGAGTCAAAGTTTGGAGGAATGCTGTGTTAGCAAAGGGTTTTTAATAAGTAGTATTGGGGTTTGGGTTGCATCTGCAGGCAGCAAGTCCCTTAATGGTTAGGACGTTGCTTGGGATCAAATTGTATTTGGCTGCCATGAGAAGAACATGGCCACAGGAAAATTAAATTAAAGTATTTAGTTGACTTTCTGGGGGTGCACTAGCAGCAAAAAATAACAGCAGACCCACCAAAGGCTTTGCACTTTTACAATGTTTTGCATGCAAAGGGATGAAACCCAGAAAAAGAATTATAGCTTGTTTAAAATAAAAATAAATGCTGCATCTAGACTTTAAAAGACCAATCAACATTTCTCACTCCTAAGCTGCAGGTGTTTGGTGAGAAGGGTCCCCCTTAAGCCATTTAAAAGGTACAGCCAAAAAAAATTAACTCAGCAGCTCAGCCTGCTAAGGTCATTAGTGCCAACTAATCAAACAGATCTCAGTATGGTCAGCACAAGCTCCTTGCAAGGACTTAAACTGATGTCACTGCAGCTTTTTTTCCCTGCTTCCAACTGCCTCTCTGTGATTTACAACACAGATGGAGAAAAATCCAAGCTATAGGGGTCAACTTTACAAAACTAACTCAGTCTTCTGGAGTTTCTTCTACAGTGCATGCCTATGGACTTTGGAGCTAATAAGATGGTCTTATAGCCAAAGCCCAGAACCAGAAAATCCAAGTTCTATTCCCACTTTTTCCATGAGCTGCCTAGCCAACATTGGACAGGTCCCAAATCTGTCTGTAGTATAAGGATAATAATTAATTCCCTGCCTCATAGAGAAGGTAGGAAACGCTAGTCATGACACATCTACTTTGGGAGCATCTTAGATACCCTGTTGCAGCGCAGAGGTATCCATTAATATCCATAAACTCCTTTGGGACCTTTGGAAGATGGAAGATAATAGCTAAAAACCATAAAAGACTATTATTATTGTTCTTACATCAACATACTGTCAGTTAATTTTGAAGTGTTCCAACACAGCTGACATGAGTGGGTAGAGACAAAATCAGGTGGGGAAGTTAATATGGCTATAAAAATAAAATAAAACAAGCAAAATGAAGAGTTGAAGCTATGATATAATTAGAGTTGTTCTTATTATCCTTATTACAGTTGTTATCTGTATTCTCTTAGCAACTGTTAGTACCTGGACAGGACCCTGTGGTGCAAGGCACTATACAAAGACAATCCCTGTTGCAGGGCTGTGTTGCGCTTAGCATGTGCTTTAATTAGAGCGTAGGAAGAAGCATGAGGACTTAGAACTTGTTCTAAGAGGTTGCACGATAATGCTTACTACAATCCGGACATGGTTGGAGCTGTCTGTGTGGTCAGCAAACAGCCGTTTGTCAGTCCCTGCACCGCGCCAGAGCCAGTGAGGAGCACTACTATTATCCCTGCGGAACAGTCCCACAGTAGCGCAACCCACGTTACTTTATACCATCTGAAGATACCACTATGAAAAGTACTATCTTTGCTATGATATAATGGCAAATAGCATGTTTTACTGCTTGAATGCGTGGTTGCTACCATTTTAGGCGCAGTTAATACATCCCAAGTATAACGTGTGACAAGGCCCTTTGAATACCAGACAAGAGAACATCTAGTCAAATATGATCTTGATTGACTATAGCTGGACACTTCTTTTCTTGCAGTGAGGATTCAGAAATTAGGAAGTGGCAGATTTCACTGCCCTGTTTCATACCAAGTGGGTCCTTGTTCCCCAAGGCATCCTTTTGATTTCACCGGGAATATTGGAGGACTAAGATGCCTCTCAAGCTACCAGAATCTTGAAAATGAATGACTATATCGTTTTGACTCAAATAACAGAATAGGCTACATGTGATTTTTTTAAGGCACCGTTATGATCCTTTCTTTGTTTCTGCACATACTAGTGCCTCTGTCCAGATTCATTAGAGTAAAGGCATGGAGACTGCAGGTGTTCTGTTGACTTAAGAGTCACCTCCACAAACCTCATCTATGACCACCCAAGGACATTTTCTGTAGGGAGCCTGAGGATTGTCCCTTGCAAGCTCATCAATGCCATTTATGAGTCACTGGACTCAACACTGAACTGTGCTGGGCACTCTCTTGCCACAGGTGTTAACAAGGCCTCCATCACCCATTGGCTCTAGCTGGAGATCTGAACAGTGAGAGTTCAAGTTCAGCAGCTTTCCAAACAGTTAAGAAACTGAGGGTAGAAAACAAATGCACAGGAATGAAAGCTTTTGTAGCCCAGGTATACTCGGGTATATACTCCCCTTCTCCAATTGAAGGGAACGGTTAGCTGGCAGGTGTGCTGTGGGGGAACTGCAGACCGCTCAGATGCCCTCCGTCCCTATAGAGCCAGGCCAGGACAGTCAGGGGACTTAACTATATACACATTTATTTACATTCACTTTTCACAAGGAAAAGAAACATGGGTATAAACATATGTACAATATATATATTGTACATAACTAAACAAATAACATAAACAATACCCTCTGGGTAAATGCTATAAAACCTTACAGCAGTGCTCCAGATACAGATCTGTCACAGGTACATATCTGATCTTAAACAGATAAATCCCCAAATAAGCATAGATAGCCAACAGATAAACTCTAGATAAGTATGGGTGAACAGTAAACAAGACACAAATAAATACAAATAAACAACGGGTGAAATAAGAGCAACAGGGGGTCCCAGCAGAGCCTTGGACTCTACTCCTCTAGTACGTTACAAACATGAGAGTTCACAAAACATAAGGCATGACATCACACCACTTACGGTGCAAGAACCTCAAAAATAAACTTAATCCCAACAGGAAACCTCAATGCCCTTGGGCTTTTTCCCAAGCCCTTCAAGGACACTGGTAACTTCAGGGGGGCCCTCCCAGTGGGACCTCCACTTTCAGGAGCCCTTAACTAACCAGGGGGGACTCACCCTCCCCTGTGAGAATCCTTTTTTCCCTGCAACTCACGGCTCCCAGGCCTAGAGGGTGGCCCTTGTTCTCTGCACCAACCTGCACTCTCGCCTGTGGTGGGCTTTTGGGGGGGGGAGGGGGGACACGTCGCTGTCCCCTGGAACAGGGCTCCACTATGCAGGGCTTCTGGGGCCTCCTGCTCAGCCCTGTCTGCTGGCTCAGTAGCCCAAGCACCATCTGGCTCCCTGGACTCAATCTTTTGCCATGGGTTGGAGGCCCCAGCCACCTCCTGCAGCACTGGGGCCCAGTCCGCTTCCAGACCCTATGTGCAGCGCCTCCTGCACCGAGCTCCCAGCCTTATTCCAGGGGTTGAGGACATGAGCCGCCCAAGTGCTCCAAAGATCCTGCTCCACGCACCGGCCTGGCCACCATGATTCTGGGCACACACCAGAAGTTGCAGACCTGAGCCGCCTCACGCAGCTCCCAAGGACTGGACACCGTGCTGCGCACCAAAAGCCTAGCCACTGGAGCCATCTGCCATTCCCCGCCGATGGAAGTCTTCAGGGGCGCCTCTGAGCCACTGCTTCGCCCTGCTGAGCAGCTCTCCTCAGCTCTTATAAGCCCCGCTCTTCTCTCTTCTCTGTCCCGAATGTGTTCTC